ATTATTATTATAAATTCATAGTAGATCAGTTAAATAAATTGCCAATAACATTTCAACAATAGGGAACTTTGCAGGTTTTAACAATTTTTTCATTATTATTATTATTGYAAATTAATCATTCCCCCGTTCCCCCTCCCCTTTCTCCATCAACCCCCTTTAGGGGGGGTCGACTCAAACCCCCTACATCACCACCCCACGGTGAAACCGCATCCCTCCAGCCTTATTTTTGTTATTAAACTAACCACAAACCCGCACCTCAGCCTCAGCAGCAGAAATAAAAACTCCTCAAAGCACCGCATGCCTCACGCACAATCACCAAGATGTCCACCCCTCACACACACACACACACACACCTCTTCCTCAAGCATGTCTTCAAACCCCGCAGCCCTACCATCAGCACCTCCGAGGCCCCGAACATCCAGGTGAAACTTTTTCAGACTCGAAGGAACCCAACGCGCTCCGTGCGTCCTGTGCCCGCCGCAGACCACTTTCTGTCTGGGCCACTTGTGTCTCAGACATAAGGGGAGAGAAAGACGCACACATCGCTCTCTGTTATCATTTTTTTTCCATGTTTGCAAGCACAAAACTGCTTTTTGTTCCCTCTTTTCTTTTTTTCTTTTTTTTTTTCATTTACGAGGGTTAATGGATAGAGGCTTGGGCGTTTGATCACATGGCTACAATTCACCTGAGCTGGAGACAAAGAGAGCAAAGAGAGGAAGAGAGGGAGAAAACTGAGAGGCAGAGACACACAGGGGTCATTGTTGCCACCGCTTTATATATGTGCTGTTTATGTGGATCTGCGCGCATCAGGCCACGCTTAAAACGCGTTATCACCGCTTTAAAAAGCGACCAAACAGGCGCGCGCTCATGCAAAACAACAAATGGTTGACTTTACAAAGCCAGTATCTGAGCAGTGGAAGTTTAAAATCAGTTTTTAATTATTCTATTTTTCTTTTCACCTGTTGGTTATGTCATTTACGCACCGTTTGCAAAAGTTCATCACTTATAAGACATCACAATCAACAGCTGCTAACGTCAACATAAAATTAGACAAACAAATGTCTAAAAAAATCCCAAAGTAGATGAGTTTTAGACTTTAGATTCACTTTTCCTTTCCCTGAATGGTAACTAATCACCAGTCAGAACAAACTGCTTCAAGAGTCCTTATTGCATAAAAAAATCAGAGTTGATATTCATCATATTGTTTTATTTTAACTTTCTGTAAAACACAGATATGTTTCAGCTTCATTAATTTCTTTCTTTCTCTTCTCTTTCGTGGTGAGATGTTCTGATGAGTCTCAGAATCCTAACAGACCCCTTTAATATTAATAATTTTTAATACCTTTGATTTTTCAACAGGATTCCTTTGTTCATATTTAAAAAATATTGTTTATTTCGTTCTACTGCATATTAACTAAACTTAACTCCCATTAAAAACAATCATTTCTGACATTTTTAACATTCATCTTTTATTTGAAACCAGGTTTGATGCAAAACGGAACTAAACTCCAAAACAAACAGAATCTCTACTTACATTAAAGACATTTTTCTTAAACAAATCCAAATGTTTCAAAGCAATGGACGTCAGAATGTCCAACTTTATGGGGTCCACAAAAATATTCATGTATTTAAAACTATTTGCTGTACAATTTGTTGCCATGGCGGTAAGAGTCATAAAATAATTTAAGAAAAAACATAAAATAGTATCATAACTGTTGAAATATCTGCTGCCATTATACCATGTTGGGTTTTAGCAACGTTTGAAAACCTAATGGTCAGCTTTGCCTTTACCGCGGTTATTTTAGTGGTGGAACTGTTTCAGAGGCATCAAAACTTGGATTTGGATTAAAAATTTAAGGCTAGTCATTTATCCTCATTGATATGAATTTATCTACAACTTATGTGAGAAGGGAGAGTCAAGATATTCATTCTTCACCCMAAAATTTTACATATCACTCTTTTTTATTTATTTATTTTTCATGAATTTAACCACACAGGTCAATAACTCTCCTCCTGATTGTTTATTTGTTTGATCCGTGTTAACACGTCCAACAAAGCCGGCCTTCTCCTGCCTCTAAATGGACTCATTTAAAGCCACTCGGAGGTGAAATAAAAAAAAAGGAAAGAAAAAAAAAGGCTCACCTTCTTTTTTGGCTGAAAWTGTAGCTCCTGAGATGGAGCTGTAGATGGAAGGGGCGGGGACACGTTCGGTCCAATCAGAGAGCGGTCCGACAATAAGCGGACCAATCAGAGCGGCGCRCTCGTCCAGGGCGGGCGGGGCTTAAGCGTGTACAGGAATGTCGTGTCTTTTGGGAATGTTTCCAACTTTCAATCAGTTTTTTATTTTTTTTCTCTCGCAGTCCTTCTCACAAGGCGCTCTTTAAGCTGTGCTGTCGCCACACAGAGCAGCCATTCATCGGCTCGGCAGCCAGGACACACACTCCCCATGCTGCTCCACCACCGGACATCTAGGTAGGTTATGTCATTTGAAAACGCTAAATTTAAGACAKAAACATATCTTTACTTATGTGCCATAGCTTTGTAAACGGCTTTTACAATTAATAATTAATGTTTTTATACCGATRTGATCGTTTTGTTTGAATTGTTTATTTTAGCTCTGTACCTTTAGGATCATTATTATAAATTTATTATTATTATTTGCTAAAATGTGCTTTTTTTTGTCCTGTTTTAGCTGCTGTTTAAAAAGAATCGGACCTTTTTACTCACCAGTATGAATATTCAGCAGAAGAGTCAACACTAATGATTGGAGGCTTTTATTTTGACACTTTTTATTAAAGCTACATTAGGTTTTTTTTTCTCTCTACATAGAATTTTAAAGTTTTTTTTTTTATATAGATTTGTTTGTGTTATTATAATTGGCCCAAAAAGTTTGAATAAAACATGTCCGGTGAGGAGCACAGCCTGTCCGAGTCCGAGCTGAGTCCTGTGGGGTCGGACGACGGTCACTCCCTGTCACCGAGCCGACCCGGAGCTCCACCCGGGCCGGACTCGCCCCTGGGCGGCCCGCCACAGCAGCTGACCGCGCTCTGCGTGGCGGATCCGAACGGGGATGACGGAAGCCGAGGCAGGGCCAAATCCGAGGAGGAGGACGACCGCTTCCCCATTGGCATCCGGGAGGCGGTGAGTCAGGTGCTGGACGGGTACGACTGGACTCTGGTGCCCATGCCGGTGCGCGTGAACAACGGGAACAAGAGCAAGCCGCACGTGAAGAGGCCCATGAACGCCTTCATGGTGTGGGCGCAAGCCGCGAGGAGGAAGCTGGCCGACCAGTACCCCCACCTGCACAACGCAGAGCTCAGCAAGACCCTGGGCAAACTCTGGAGGTTCGTGATGGAGACATTTTCACACCCTGACYAAAACTGGTCTCAATCAACAAAGCAAGTCACGTGATCAACAAWGACAGCATCATTAATTATCATTTCTCTGACACATGCCACAAACCTGCTTTCATTTTCACCCAGAACGCCCACAGGACTGAACCAGTTCTTGTTTTTTTCTCTCCCTCAGGCTGCTGAACGAGAGTGACAAGAGGCCATTCATCGAGGAGGCAGAGAGGCTGAGGAAACAGCACAAGAAGGACTACCCTGACTACAAGTACCAGCCCCGGAGACGCAAGAACGGCAAGCTGACGCCTGCCAGTGAGTCCGACAGCCAGGGGGAAGGGGAGTCCAGCCACTCCCAGTCTCATTATAAGACCCTTCACCTGGATCATAACGGTGGGACCGGGTCACCCCTGGGTGACCTGCACCACCACCATCATCATCACCATCCTGCTGGTAGGTCTAGAACAAGTTCAGAGGCACAACACAATAAAAATGGGCTTTTTTGTCTCGAGAAATTTGTTTTGAAGAGAAAGACGAACATAAAAACATGAAAGTTCACCTGTTTTTTTTTCTATTTCAGGTCAGGGTCACAGCCCACCCACACCCCCCACCACCCCAAAGACCGAACTCCAGTCTGGGAAGCTGTCAGATGCCAAAAGGGAGGGGGGAGCAGGAGCGGCTGGAGGATCAGCGGGGTCCAGAGGCCCCCTCGGAGTGGGGGCTGAAGGAGCGTCTGGTGGCCCCTCATCGTCCGGCACTAAACCCCACATCGACTTCGGCACCATGGACATCGGCGAGATCAGCCACGAGGTCATGTCCAACATCGAGCCGTTTGACGTCAACGAGTTCGATCAGTACCTCCCGCCGAACGGGCACCCCCAGGGCGGAGCTGGGGCCCCCTCGGCCAGCTCCTCGGCCTCCTCTTATGCTTACGCCCTGGCCGCCGCCAGCGGCCACTCGGCCTGGCTCTCCAAGCAGCAGCAGCAGCCCCAGGCCTCCCCGTCGTCCTCCGATCCCTCCAAAGCTCCGATCAAAAGCGAGTCGGYGTCCGGCGGCCACTACGCCGAGGCCTCGTCCTCCCCTTCCTCAGGCACCCACGTCTACACGTCGCTCAGCCTCCCCCACTACGGCGCTGCTTTCCCCTCTCTGGCCTCCAGGGCTCAGTTCGAATACGGAGACCACCAGGCCCCAGGGGCGTACTACGCCCACTCCAGCCAAGCTCCGGGGCTGTATTCAGCCTTCTCTTACATGGGCCCTACACAGAGGCCACTGTACACGACCATTGGAGACCCCTCCACCGTGGCGCCCTCTCACAGCCCCACACACTGGGAGCAGCCTGTTTACACCACTCTCACAAGACCTTGAGGCAGTGCAGCTGAGCAGAGGGAAAATATGGGAAGTGTGCGAGTGGATCTCTGTATCTGTATGTGTGTGAGTGTGTTTGTGCCATATTAGAGTGTTTTTTTCTCTCTCTTTTTAGCCAAGATGTGTTCATGAAACCTTCACACATTTACAACAGCCAGGGACTCGTACAGAATGAAGTGTGAATCATGGGGCCAATCAGAAACATAAAACCTTAACAAATGTGTGCCATCCTAAAAGTTCGGACAAACAATACGGTTCCAGAACATTGAGTTAAAGAAGAAAATAAGAGACGTTGGAGCAACGTAGTGACTCTGATAGAGGCGACGGGTTTGGACTTGCATGATCTGATTTTATTAACCAAACTAAAGCATTATTTTAATGTTTTTTGTGTTATTTTATACAAGTAGTCTTGTTTTATCTTGATATAGGGTGTAACTTTATTGTGTCTGATTTGAAATCACACTTGTGTCTGCACCACTGCTTTCTTTTTTCACTTCAATGTTTTTTTTTTGTTTTGTTTTCTTGGGGTTTRTTAATCGTGGCCAGAAAAGGACAGGTGAAACTTCTTTTTTAAAATCTTATATTACCTTCGCTCATCTGAATACACACGTAAGGGGAACAAAAACAACAGGAAAACGACAGGGAATGARAGATTTATAATTTATTAGTGGTTGGCGAATTACCTCAGTTTATTTTTGATTCCCAGTCTAAAAAAATTGATTTTCAGTTCATTTTTTTACTTTAGTATATGTTTTGCTTTTTTAATGACATTTTGATGATGTTATTTTTGATTGATCAAATAACTGAGTTCAAATCTTTAATCACAAATCCTTGGCGTTAATAGGCCAACTCTGGGTCTTAATTAAGGATTAAGCGCCCTACATACAGGTCAAAACTGTGCCTTATTTTAGTTTATTTTTACCAATCTGAATGACAGTCATCGCCACACCTCCATGTTTATAACTTGACTCAAATGTTACTGTTTTATACTGACCTTTTTAGTTGTTTTTAATGCATCATGTGTCACATCTTTGCTTCTTCCATTTTGTATAATTCTGAATAGTTTTGTAAAGTGTTTGGTATACATTCATCTGAGTATTTTACTTCCTTACAAGAAAAAAAAGAGGCAATGTTGGAATATTATTGTCATCTATTAAATCATTTTATTTATGAAAAACAAACAAAACAAATGCTTCCTCTGTGAAACGTATCCCCAGTGTGGCGAGAGCTGCAGGCAAAGTGAAAGGTTGGAAGAAAAAACACGGTGCTGACGTGTTAACTGTAATAACAACACAAGCAGAGCCCCACCAGCCTAAGCTGTTTACTGTGTTTGTGTGTGTGGCGCGGGCTAAAATTGACTACTAATTCCCCACATTTAATCGGCTGGGGACTGCGTGTTTCTGAGGTAGGACAAAGAGAGCCTTTTACTCGGGGAAAGGGATGCGGAGAGACACGAGGGGAGGGTGTAAGGAGCCTGAGGCAAGGCCAATTTCAGCTCACGAACCGGTGCACACTTGGACTTTTGTACATGTCTTTCCTCTCCCTCTGCCCTCTCCTCTCCACCTGAGGCTCCCACCCTGCTTCCACRTTCAGCTGCAGTTTGCACTCATTAGGAGGAAGTCCAAAATTCAAGTGTCACGTTCAAGGCTGGGCTGGCAAGAAGGGTTTAAAAAACAGTGAACGACTTAAAGCCTAAAGAAATGCATTAAAGATATTTATAAAACTCATATCCTGGTAATAAATGATAACGGTCAAGAAAGGAAAACAAGAAATAGTGTTCCCTCCTCCTTGTAAGCCAAGGTTTTAAAAAAATGAAGTGTTTTTTTTTTTTTAGTGAACGGCATGAAACTGCTTTAGGGCTTGTTTCAGGTCTGATATGAAAAAAAGAAAACCCAATATGGGAAAACATTTGTTTTTCTCTATACTCTTCCATTTTCAAAGCAGAAAAATAGTTTTTCAAAATCGTTTTCTCATAAGGGATGAACGTCAAGGACTCATATTGATTTATTGAAAATTATATAGCAATGTTTTGCTTCATTCAACAAATTAAAGCTTGAATTTGACACATCGTTCATCAGATTTTTAGTTTTTTTCAGTTGTTGGCTGAGAACGTACAGATGTTCACACTCCTTCAGCTTTACAAGAGTCAAAAGGGATGTTACTCAGGTGATGGAGCAGGTAGTTCACTGACAGCTTTTTGATTAATTCCATTATGTCTATGTAACCCCATGTTACTATCTGTTGCAGCACCTTTCGTGGCAGTAATGTGAGAATGAGAAACACTTTGCAAAACACTCAATAAACTGAGTCAAGTTTAAAAGTTGCATTAGTGCAAACTATTTACAATGTGTTTCATGGATTTATGCAACTTTTAAGCCACTTCTTTTAACTTTAACTTGGAAATTTTCTTCCCTTTATTTAACTTGAAAAACTAAATTAAAATCTCATTTACAAGACAGTACTGGCAAAGACAGACTCAAAACAGCACTTTAATACAAAATACACAATGAAAAACACAAGTTATTAAAATTAAGGGGAAAAATACTGAGTGAGTTTGTTCAACTTTCCTGATATTCACTTGCCGAAATCCTCAATCAACACATGTCCATCCACGTGCTTGAGTACTTAATTTAAAATGTGTTTAAAGTCACTTTTTGAGAAAAATGTCTTCAAACTTATGTGATTTTGAAGATGATTCCATGAAGGAGGAGTCAGAATTGTTAAGTAATTATAAGTAATATTTTAAGTAATTATTAATTAATTATTAATTGTTAAGTTATTTCCACCCCAACTCAGTATAGCCTTTGGTACAGTCATCAGTCATGTGAATAAAGTCCGTGTTTTKTTAAAAAAGATGGATGAAAATACTGTGGTTAAGATGAAATTGAAAAGAAATAAGACAGTTTTGTTTTTTGTGATGTTTTGTGCCTGCAGATAAAAACAAAACACTTTATGACCATTTATCATAAACTGTAAGTATATAATTTACTTAGAAGTAAAACTGGCACCTAAAGTAATAGAGAAATTATAAGAAAGTCCAGGAAAAAAATCACCATTAAAAATAAAAAATTTAAAATTTAAATGTTAAAAACTCTGTTGTTCATAGCTCCAGTCCGTCTGGTGGCAGCACTGAATTAAAAAATAAATCCCACGAAGAAGAGTCCCACTAATGACGTAACATCCGGAGCGCCAACTCTGTAGGTGTAAACAAACGAGAAGGAGCAAATAAGTTCAACTTTCTTGTCAAAACGGTTAGAGTACACMATTTATTTTTAATTTATTTTGCATCTTTGACAAATTTCATCATGTTTRTATGTGTTTTCTGCGAAGCGACTATATTTTTGTTGTTTGTCACGTAGCATTGTAAGCTAACTGTGGAGTTTGTTCATCAGCAGAGAGGAACCAAACTGGAATTATGTGTTCATAGTTATTAAACCGCACTAAGTACCCTGTAAAACGATAAATACTTGAACAATAAACACTTTTAACTCTCGTTGTTTCCTCTCAGGCAGCACTGACTGAATGATGGACCTGAATCCGTTTGAAGCAGATAACTCTGTCAGCTGCCGGCTGGCCTCTCAGATCCCTGAAGTCTGCAGGACCGAAGACTGCTGTCTGGGTGTGGACGAGGCAGGCAGGGGGCCTGTGCTGGGTACATTTAGTTTATTTAGATTAAAACGAAACCCGTGTCTTCTACTAGTATGCATGCTTACAGTGTGTTTGTCTGTGTTCCAGGACCCATGGTTTATGGGATATGTTTCTGTCCCATTTCCAAAAACCAAGAATTGAAGGACTTGAAAGTAGCAGGTGATCTCTTTATTGACTATCCTTTTCAAGAAAGGTAAAGTGGGTACAATCAGGTCTGCACTTTCCCTTCGCTTTCATCAGATTCAAAGACCCTGACAGAGGCTGAAAGAGAGAATCTTTTCCAAAAGCTGGATGAAGCCAAAAGTTACGTAGGCTGGGCCCTGGATGTTCTKTCACCCAACGTTATCTCCACCAGCATGTTACAAAGGTTTGATTCATCTACATCTTACATATGGCAGCTTGGGACCTTAATTACAGGGTTTCTACAAAGTCTTTGAAATTAGATATTAGTATTTTCAAGGTCTAGATATGTATAAAAGAAGACCTAAGACTGGTGGGAAAAAAATCATTGGTGCTGCATGTAAAATATGTATATTTTACTAATGGCTTTAATGTGCAGGATTTTTTAAAACTGACTACACAGAAAAGAAAAAAATAATATTTTTTACAATAAAATTATAATGATTTTGACAAACTATACTATAGCAATTATTTGTAAAAAAAAAAATGCATTTTTGCAGTAATAGTGTATGCGCACACATGAGTTGCTAAGCCAATGAGAACAAGATCGTTGAAGGAAATAAAACTCTGCCAGTGACAGTAAATTTTCAGATGCTGTGAAAAAAAATAAACTTAGAATTTCTAAATGTGAAGCATGTAATTAACATATGCTAACATTTATTTTGATTCTTTTTCTCCTAGGACTAAATACAACCTGAATGCCCTCTCTCACGATACAGCCATTGGTTTAATACAGTTTGCTTTGGACAGTGGAGTTCAGGTTAAAGAGGTATGGAAACAAGCTGTTTACTTCAGTATATCAACATACGCTCCTTATGTAGTTTTATTTGTTTCTTTTTTCTTTAATTTCTTCTTCCTTTCTCTCTCTGTCCCCTCTCTGTGGTGTTTTGCAGGTTTTTGTGGACACAGTCGGTCCAGCAGAGAAATACGAGCAGAAACTCTCCCACTTGTTCCCTGGTATCGAGGTGACCGTGAGACCAAAAGCTGACTCCCTTTTCCCTGTCGTCAGTGCAGCCAGTATCTGTGCAAAGGTAGGTCAGACACAGAGCATGTTTGTCTTTTACTGCAGCCCACAATGTTCTGTCCATAACTAATTAATTTGTCCCATATCAAATTTAAATGAAGTTTAGTTTTTATCTTTTTCATTAGGTACTCTCTCTTCAATGTTTGTCACCAAAAATCAAGGGTTTGAGGCTGGATAGGGTTATCATTTTTACAGCAATATGTATCAGCTGGGTCTTCAATTTCCCTATTTCTTCTTCTGTAATTAAGCCTATTATAGGATGTACAGAGTTCATTAGTAGGTCAACCTCCAGAAAGGTTTGGAGTTCTGCTCAAACCTTATTTTGATTTATGTCCCCTAGAAACTAAATTACCGGTAGATCCCTCTAGGATTTAGCAGATTCAATTTGTGATCGTTGCATCCCAAAATGTCTGATTTCATGGAACTATTTTCAGAAAGTGGTGATCAAAGTTTTGAAGCTTTATCTTTTCAAACGCAGCAATAACAAATTAATCTCAAGTGCTTCTTGTGGCTTTTATGAAAAGATACAAGACTTCTACAGCAATAATGTTTTAAAGGGCCAATATTATGTGTTTCTCTGGCATATATTTAAATACTATACCATAATAAAGTATCTATGTCACCTTTAGCTGTTATTAAAATGCTGTTTTTATGTTTAAATAGAAAATAAATTTATCTTATCACTTCCTCTTCTAAAC